GGGGAGGTCCCTGGAGAGCGGGGCCCCCTCTCCCGTGTCGGCCGGGTCCCCTCCCTCCTCCTTCAGCTCCGACGAGGAGCTGGAGGAAGAGCTGCTGGGGGTCGTGCCCGGGCGGACCCCCGCCGGTGCCGCCTGCGGCGCCCTGGACTGGTCCGTCTTCGACAAGGAGCACGACCCCTTCCCGCGGGGAGGCTCCTCGCACTTCGAGTTCCCGGACTATTGCACGCCCGAGGTGACGGAGATGATAGCGGGGGACTGGCTCATGTCCAGCATCTCGGACTTGGTCTTTACCTACTGAGTCCCGCGCTCCGCAGGTAACGCTCTTTTTTTTTTTCCCCCCACAATCAGGTCGTATAAAAAAAAAAAAAGACAGAAAAAAAAAAAAGAACCGAAACCAGCTGTTTACATGCAGGAATCAGGTATTTTGCCTTGAAGCCGCTGGAAGGCAGAGCTCCCTGCTCACCCCATCCCCCTGGCACACACCCACTCCTTGTCCGTCCGTCTGTCCGGCCCTCGCCTCGCGACCGCGGGACGCGTGGCTGGCCGCCGTGGTTATTTGCCCGTGAAATGCGAGTGTCTAATCGGGTTTTCATTGTCAGCGCCCTGTGCCCAGCCCCTTCCCCCTGCGGCTCTGGCCACCGTGGTGCTGCCGGCCGTGGCCGCCCTGGCCGCTCCCTTCCCCGCCGGCCGCTGCCCCATGCTCCCTCCGGAGCACCCGCGCCGGCCCCGGCGCTCGGTGCCCATCCAGCCCTCCCCGTTCCTTGGGGAAGGGCCGATTCCTTTTGCTTTTTGACTGCATTTAAAGCACGGCTTCAATTTTCTCCTCTTCCTCGTTGCAGCCCTGGGGGAGGGATCCCCAGCCGCACCGCGTCCGGGGGCGGCAGAGCCATGCGGAGCCCTCCCTGCCCGACGCCCCGCGTCGTGGGGGTCCCCGGCTTCGGGGGTTCGGCGTCCCACGGGATCGGCTCTTTCCCCGCACTTTCCCTGCGGCGCGCACTCCCCGCCGCTCGCTTTGGGAAGAGCGAAGTTGCGCGCACGTGATCCGCACGTGGACGCGGGAGGCTGTGTTGTTCCTCTCGCCGGGCGGTTGTGCGGAGGAGGCCGTGCCCGGAGCCACCCCGAACCCCGGCGGGGGTGAGCCCTTCCCGGAGCAGCCAGCCCCCATTTTAGCCTTGGAGCCGGTGCCCATGCAGGACCCGCTCTGGGCTGGCTCGCCTTGGCCGGTGGAGCCGGGTCCCACCGCGCCCGGCCGCGGCGGGCG